GTGACTGACTGAATGTAGTGTAAAGTGCTTTGGGGTCCTTAGGGACGAAGTAAAGCGCTATACAAATGCAGGCCATTTACCGTTTAATATACAATAATGTATCCTGAGCTATGCTCATAATATTATTTTGTTACACAGTCCAACATGACAAATGTACCTCTGTGGTTTCACTATCTCATTAGTAAAAAAATAAAAATAAATTCATTCTTAGAAAAAAAGATTGAAATACACTCTTTATTAGGGAAAGAATAAGAACTCGGAGCAAAATAGGAAGGACCCCAGGTACAGACATAGATGAAATACAGGAGCAAATGCTGTGTCGCATTACAATATACAGCGACATGTACTGAGAATGTTCATGTTAACTTTTGCCAGAAATTATTATGACAAAAATATTATTAAATAAATTATTAAATTAAATAAACAAAAAGAAAAAAATTGAAAACACACAATCTAATGAATTATTAACATCCTCCTTTTACCTTCTCAAACCTTGAGTGTGAGTTGGTGTGTCTGAGTGTGCTGATGATTGTCTGCTTGGATGTGCAGTGTAATCTCACACATATGTGCATGTAACAACACTGGCGGATGGAGTGAATAATGGATGAAGGTGTAAACAGGAAGAGGAAAGCTCTTGAGCTCTCAGAGTGGGCGCGTGTGCATTTGTGTCCTGCAGGTTTTATGCAGGCAGAGACTCACAGTGCAGACAGATGGGCAATTATCAGGCAAGTAACTAAAAAGTCTTTGCCACTGCAAGAAAATGCATCTGTCTTGGGTACAAGCTCTACCTCCATGAAGTTGGTTAGGTAAAATAGGGATTAGAGAAGAATAAACCCACACTCAAAAAAATAATTCATTGGATGAACGTAATTTTATCTTAAAAGAATCATGTTATATTAATCCATCTTGATTGTGTTGTTTTAACACGATATATGTTTGTAAGTTTAACATAATATTAACATTAACATTCCATTAATTTGACTTTTATTCAAACAAGTTGTTTGTACCAAGTTAGTCTAATTAAATTTAGTTAAAGTCATGTTATATTGTTTAAACACATACATCAAAAGTCAGTCTTGTTACATGAACTAGTACAATATTTGTTTGTTACACCAGTGATCATCTTGTTGAATGAACAAATGTAACTTCTGTCTGTAGTACATGTTGTGTTCATATTACATAATGTTCAACAAAAAATTCAACAGATTTAGAGCAACTTCCAATCCAGCTATCCTCTTATCTTTATCTGGGCTGCGGAAGCGATAAGGTAAGAGGGGCAGGGTACATCCCGGACAGGTCGCCAGACTATTACATAGAGACAAACAACCATTTGCACTTTAACACCTTTGGGTAATTTAGAATCACCAATTACCCTTACCCTAATAACTGAATGACTTCTAACTTTGGAGGGAACCAGAGTACGCAGAGAGAACCCATTGCAAACTCAGCCAGATTGAACCCAGGACCTTCTTGCTCTGAGGCAACAGCACGAGCCACCATGGCCTTGAGCTGTCAATACAGACTCAACAAAAGTAGGAAAGCTATGCTTGATGCAGAATTTTCTTTACGTTTTTGTCCTTGACAAGTTAAACCATAGTAAATAGTAACACATACACGTGGTGTGTGTATGGTTGTCTGCCTCTTATAACCCCAGTGATTTTCCTGTGGTTTGACATCTCATATGATCTTGTGAATTTCGTGAGTCCAGGCAACTAACCACTCTTCCTAGATTGTATCATGTTATCTGAACAAGAACAAATTAAGTTTTTGAATTTTGTGCACATCCAACATGATTTAACTGCGTTCATCATAGAAACATGAAATTATTTTGTTCAAATGACAAGTTAGACTTTTGTAAATGTAACAACCACCCATTTTTTTTGAGTGCAACTCTGTCAGTAATTGTACATTTTAATTTATGACTTTGAGAAAAATGCTAATTAATTTAGAATACATAAAGTTAATTCGTGACCAGGTTCTAGGCAGGAAGGCTAGGTACAGACATTTACCACTTCTGGCATTGAACCATGGAGCACACATTTATAACTGATTAACAGAAAGGTACAGAAAGGTGTGTCATATTTGGAACCTTGCGTAAAATATAGATCTAAACCTTTTTCAGGTTATCAATGAAGAGATAGATGTTAGGGGGGTGAGATGAAAAGTCAGTACTATGGCACTTGTCTGCACAATATGTGACAGGAGTACATGTAGATGTAACCAGCAGCATTGCCCTGCTGTGATCACACTTATGTCTTTTTCATTCTTTTACATAAAGTACATACACCCACACACACTCCCACGCATACATGTGCGTCCACCTTGGAAGTGTTTTGAGCAGGTGCTTACTGTGTATGCGACCTCTGCAGCTGCCGTGTAAGCACACTCACATGCACATCTGCACACATTTACTTCAGGTCAACTTTGTGCACACACAAGAGACTTTTATCCTAAATGAAGGATGATTGCCTCTGACATGTTTGGTGCAACTCCACCTGCACAAATCACAGAGCCCCACCTGGCTCATATGTGTTTTATTGCAGGAGAAGAGGCAGTTTACTTTAAACTGAAATCTTTGTTGGTTTTCTGTTGCTCTTCTGTCACGCTGGTCCATTCTCAAATAATTAAACAAAAACGTTTTTTTAAAAAGTGTATGAACAGTACATACAAAAGGCTGAAATTAGTCCAAAAAGACCTATTGGGCAACGACATGCAGAGTTCTGGTAGTGATATTAAATGTCTGCCTATGCAGTAATACAAATGTAATCTATCCTATTTTTCAAGGTTTAATTTAATTTGTGGGTAAAAGTTCCAACAGAAAGCTCATTTCTTTCTTAAAGAAAATAATACTGGAAACTACAATATATTTGATTCTATTGCTGCACACAGCAGGCAAGAATAAGCAGCCAAAATGAAACTGAACTTAGTCGCACAGATAATAACGAAGTTAAAACCTCAGCTTACATGCAAGGTTTTAACACAGATACCAATTAAACCCCACAGGGCACACATGTCAGACACACACACAGGTGATCAAATTTATTATGAAAACTATACCAGCCTTCTAACTGTGAATTTTCATGAGATACAGGAGTCAAGATATAAATAAACCCATTTTTGCACACCTGACGAGAACGTGTCTAAATATGGATATTATTTAACTCCACCCAATAGCCAGATTGAGATAGTCAAAAACCTTTGCAACACAGGCAGAACTGTGGAATTACTTACTGCTTAATTATTTTGTTAACCTGTGCTGGGCAGCTCATAATAAGCTCTCTAATTTGATAAATTTACGGGCACTGATGTCCAAAGCTTTTCAGCAGGTGTGTGAGTATATTTTGCACCATGGTTATCCTTAGTCATGCTTTTAATCGCATTTTGGAGCATAAAAAACGTGCAATGGGGGGTCAGAGGGTCAGAGTGTTTGAATTTATTTCACACAACTTTCTGAATTACAAATTTCCCAGTAAAATAACAACAGCAAAAGTGTTTCGACACCTTCGTCTATTTTTTTTCCATTTGCCAGGGGATGCTGTGATGGCTGCCTTTGGCCAGAGGTAGTGCTGCAACACCTCCAGCACCCCTGGTCTTGGAAATAGGACGAATGAATGAGTGCGTAAAGAGAACATTTGCTAAATGAAAGGGAGGAAGCAAGACAAAAGTATTTGAAATACAATGTTCTAATATCAATCAAAAATCAGAGCTGTAGTTAAATAATGAAAACCATCTGCAAACAGAAGCATCACATAGGATAGCAGATGAGAAAATCGTGTCATCATTTACAGTCAAAAAATAAACGTTATGTGATTTATGGCATTAAGGCCTGAATAATATCTTTTTTTCAGTTTCTTAGCACAAGTGACCTATGGACGGTTCATCAGATATGCCAGTGTTTACCCAAAATTCTTTTTAACTCTTTAAAAAATTGCAGCCACATTTTCTACTTTTTCTGAAGGGAGAATATTACAGAGATTATTACTACAGAGGGAAGCATATTTAACTACATTACACATGGAAAGCCCTAAAATTTTGAATAAAGCATAAATGAAGAATTTTTAATTGTTAAACCAATTTATATGGTTGATGGGGTCACTTAGTGATCGAGTATTTCATGCATTCTTTTAACGTCTGTCAACTTTAGTGGAAACATTATTTTTTTCTAGTCGTACTTTTCAGTTAATTTTGCTGTATTTTTACTTATAGTTTTTAACATTATTGTGTATATTGATACTGTGTTGATACTTTCAGTGTAGAAGTATATTTAGAATCTGGTTGTAATTGGGCTGTGAATGCTGACACAAGTTGCTCTTATCTGCTAACCCCTGGGGCAGTTCTCTTTACAGTGTGCTGGTTTTTGATTGGTATTTGAATACCACCTGGTTTTTACATGTTATTATTATTGTTTTCTTAAATTATACTAATGGCAGCTTGCTGAAACTTGTATGTCTTTTTGCCCTTTAGTATTTTTATCAGCGCGTTTTCTCTCTTTTCTGCTACATTTCAAAAGATTGCTCCCTGTTTATCTTCCAAAGATTTGGAGTTGAGTGCCCTATTACTCTGTATCCTAAACACCATGTTCCACTCAATTGGTTGCCTGCATACTCTACTATAGGAATGTGTGTGTGCCTGTGTGTGCCTGTTTAAATGTGTATCTTCTGCATACAGATACAAAATTTATTACAAATATTGATTTTCTGCCTGAAGGATGGACCCCTGATATGAAATCATATTGATCTTTTAAATACAATACCCATGCTTTTTTTTATGAAACTGTGTCTGAACAGCTTGCATTTGTAATTTATGTGTTAAAGGAGGGTGTGTATTGTATGTGTGTTTTTATGTTTTGTAGTTTGTTTTATAGGACTGCATATATAAATGAATATAAATGAAAGCTTTAGATGATCCTGTGTGCTGTGTCTGAGCTGGTATTTTAATTTTCAAATTCAACAAATCTGAACAATTAGATTACACCATATAAAAAATGTCTGCATTGTGTCTTCCAACTGTGCTTTAACAATCACGACCTTCAGAAAAAAGCTAAGGAAAACGGTTCAACAAATATTGATGATGACATCAATCGTAACTTCTTTACTCTCATTAAAATCTCAGAGCTGTCATGGCAACGGGTGGGATCTCAGTGGTGAAGCTTTCTGTTTCTCTCGTTTACTCAACCACCTTCTCAGCCATGACTGTCTTCTCATCTTTTCTTCTCCATACAACCTGTTCTTTCTTCCCTGACAGTCTCTGTGAACCTTTTTCTACAAACCCTCCTTCTTTCTTCATAACATTCACAACACGGTTTGATACTTTTTACATGATACTTCTTAGTAAAACTACCACTTCAGGGCATTCTTTAATGCTCAAATAAAATTAAATTTGTTTAGAGTCAATAAATCATTGAAGGCTAGCTCTAATTTACATTCATGTTATGCATTTAAAAATGCAATAAAAGAGACATAAAATATCAAAAGGAACACAATAAAACAAATGCAGTCATACAAGATTCAGACAACACACCCGCAGGCTTTAAGGAAGTCTTAAGCCACATAGATGAACATAATCATCACATGCACAGTTATTTACTTAGTTTGTCTTCAATCTTCGGTTTGTCTTCTATGACAGTTTTGTCACAAAAAAGCTTGCTGCTTTAGTGTGACGTTCCTTGTATCCTTGATCATTGATGATTATTATGTAAATGCTTATAAGTGTCCTTGATAGTTTTTAGATTTCAGTAAACTGTCACATACATCTCTTACTAAAAGTCGTCTTCATCTCAGAAAACCTTCTGAACCGTTCTGTTTATACAGCCTTTGCAACAAGTTAATTCCGGTGAGATATAAAAATCATCTTTCTTGTAATTTTAAAAATATATATTTGTTTATGGCTACAAAGCCTTTGTGATTGCTCACTACTACTTTAACTGGGTAAATTACAAAAAGCACATCAATTGAGACCTGTACTAAAAAGCAAGTTCAAGAAACCTTAGATGAATTTTGCTTTTCTGGCTTCGTCTACCTAATCTCAGCATTTAGACAAAATGTTCACAAAAAGGTGATTATTTGATTTGGATAACTCAAACCAGTTTACTAATGTAGCTATGAGTGTGTTCATACAAAAGAGGTTGTTCAAAAATAACAAGTACTGTAAAAGGCTTAGGCAAACTGTTTTAGAAATATATTGCTTACAACAGGAAAGGGCCATTTTTAAATTTGTTATTGCTGAAATTTAATTATAGGGGGAAAAAATTTGAGACAACTTGTTTTTAACACAAAAGCACCTTTTATTAGGAAATTCTGCAAAATTGCAGGCAATATATGAACAGAGTTAAGTCTTCTGGCAGCCTGTTGAGTAAAGCTTATCAGCAGTCTACTGGACCAAACCCGGATGCTCTTGTACCTTTTCCCCGAAGGCAAGGGGCTGGAGAGGGCCTGTGAAGAGTTTGGAGGGCTTTGTGGGTGAGGCGGATGTTGAAACCAATGATCTTGCTAGCTGTAATGTCAAATGATTCCCAGAATATGAATAAATCCTTGTGTGCAAGGGACAAGGCTGAAAAACAAATATTGGATGTCCACGAGCTCTCAAGCAGCACTGCATCAAAAACAATCATGTTTCTCTCACAGAAATGACAGCATAGACTCAGGAACACATCTGTGAACACAGTTCATCGTGCCATCCACAAATGCAGGTTAAAGCTCTATCGTACAAAGAAGAAGCCATATGTGAACATGATCCAGAACTGAAGGACTGAAAGGATATGATCTATCTGGCTTGTTCAGTTCAAATCTTTGCATTTTTGATGGTATGCATTAGTGTCTATGGAATTGGCCGCTTGCACATTTGAAAAGGTATACACTGGTTTTGGAGCACAGAAGATTCAGGACTTTTGAGCAGCTAGAATCTTATATCAGACAAGAATGGCACAAAACTCCTCTTCCAAAAGTCCAGCAACTGGTCTCCATAGTTCCCAAATTCCCAAGTTTACAAACTGTTTACAAGCTGTTGCTAAAAGATGGGATACTACATAATGGTAACTGGGCCGTGTCCCATCTGTTTTGAGAATTAGTATCGCTATCAAACTCTAAATGAGCTAATATTTTTCCTAAAATGGTACATTTAAAAAAAATTGGTTTATGAGACTGCAAGTAATTAAAAATCTCATTGTCATCTTATCATTCTCTTTTTGTTTACACATCCAAACGTTCCAACTTTTTGGAATCAGATTTGTATTGCAAATTAATGGGAAAATGAGTTATTAATGGGTCATATGAGTTAAGACTCAGATGGAATGTAGGACTTAGGGAAAAGTTACAAGACATTGCCAGACTTTTGGCTCCGTACTCGTAAATTTGAGACATCCATTTGTGAGAATTATTCTGAAAACATTACCCCCTCTTATTCCAAAGCAATGAACATTCGTTGTGGCAAATATCACAGGCACGAAGGAAACATGCTGTTACTGTTACATGTTTTTTTCCACATGCGTGTGATTCTTTAAATAGTCTCCTCCCAAAATAGACACATAAATATGCAATAAGGCCAGCTGCAAAAAAAAAACATAGATTTTTTTTGTGTGTGATAGACAATATTTTTTAAAAATGTATACTATTGCAATCTGTGCTCTAGATACGAGGGATTTTTAGGTTATGGTTTTGTATCTCTTTTTTTATTCTGAACATAAAGTAAGTTAGCGTAGCAGAAATTAACCTTACTAAGTCCTACATTTCTATAGTACAGGCCAGTTTTGGAAGAATACTGGAATTATTTAATCTTGATAGCAGAAGCTGTTAAAATTGCTAATATGTTATTTCTGTGCTAACATGACTCTTTTTTTGTTTGTTTTTTTGTAGTTCTGATCGGAGGATCACACCCACTCCCACTGGCTAAATGGCTGACCTTTGGCCTCTCCTGCTTTGTTTCACTACTCTTCAGATGATGAGCACTCCCCATAGCACCACCAACTGTCTGTGCTGACAGACACTGCCCTGACTTGCGCTCTTTTACTTCTCTCTCTTCCCCTGTACCTGTCTTTTCCTCTGCGTACCTGTCCATTTACTTGTCTGTCCTCTTCAGTTATTGTCTTGCTGTCCTTCATGCATCCAACAAGAAACACTATGTATTTGTCTATCTTCTTGTCCTCTGCTCTTTTTTTTAAATATTTCACCTATTCGCTTCATATAACCAACCAATGCTCATACTGTATTTAAGGTTAACATACTTAATGGTCTTTGACATAGAGACTTGGAATTCCCTCCTTTATCCCTTGATTAGATTCTCTTTATCCATGTCAGTGTGTCACTTTGTCAACTTTGTCTTTTTTCTCTCCTTTGTCATCCTTCGTGGTCCATATGTGCACCCTTCATGTATCTTCACTCCCTTGAACCGCTATCCTCGGAAGTCCTTCCACCCTATTCCCCAGACACACCAAAGTGTCGGACACACAACCAAAGATGACAAAGGACCTGAGGGAATGAAATGGGGGAACGGGGATTCTAGGAAGAAAGTTAAAGAAAGAGCGAGAGAAAAGGGAAAGTGGTCAAAACAACCTTTTCCACAAAGACCGTCTCCCTTCCGGACCAGCCTTTGGCACCATGGGAGCTACTGATTGATAAGGAGACACTAAAAACTGATGACTGAATGAATAAATAAATAAATAAATCATTGAGGAAATGACAAACCAGGACTGAGGATAAAAGAAGGGTGTCCTTGGTAGCCTCTTGGTAGCCTCTCTGCTTGCCACAAGAGACGAACCTCATACGTGTACATTTATCTTATATATATATATATATATATACATATATATAAATAAATATATATATTAAATAAAATGAAGGTTAAACAAAAACACAGCTAGGGCAGTGGAGGACTTTACAAAGTGAAATTAAAGAAGCACAACGTTTATACAACCTCTGCTGTTCCTTTGGATTTTATTCAATTTCTTATGTGATATTGCAATTTGTCAGACCTATTTAGTGTTTTTGATATTTGCTTTTTTGTTTTGTTATGGCATCATGAGGGTCAAGGTAATTAAAGTATTACATTCATATTTATGAGAGGCAGAGAGGATGATTTGTGATCCTGACTGAGCACGTGAATGGAAATGCAAAGATGACCCAAACCATCTGGTAACCTCAAATTTTCTTCGCAGATACAGATGAGTACACATATACACCCAGACGTAAACAAATGAACACTCAGTTTTCATTGCTGACATCACAGTCAAACACATGTCATCCGACGAGGAACACAGAAGGAAAACCTTGGCTGGTAGATACAACTTCTTTTTCATAAACTTCTTTTTACTAGATATAGGAGTCAAATATCTGAATTAATCAGAACACAGCAGGCAGACGTGCCTCAAACATAAAGCAAATTGTGGTGTTTTATGGGAAATGGATAAGCGCCTGGAGTAAGTTTCAGCAGTTCTTCTTTCGCGGGTTATTGAATGTCATGTATGGATTTCCCCTACCCAATGCATCAAAGGTGGAGAAGATTAGCAGTCTCTGCCAGATGTGCAGTGTGGATTGAATAATACATTCTTTGTTTAATTACTGAATGTCTGTATTATAAGCACTTCTCATAGTCCCATAGATATGATTGTTAAAATTAAGCAATACTCATATCTATATATCTACATAATTGTTCTCATTGCATTTAAAATTATTCTGAAAAAAATCATTGTGTCCAAAGCACAGCAGAAAGGCTTTATCTGTCATCTTTCATCAATTATTGCAGTTACCAGTGTAATTCTGGTAATTGTAGCCATTTAAATTTTTAGTGTGCTTCAGTTTTTCTGTACTGTGCTTCAGCTGTTTCAAAAAACTCCATATTTCCAGCCACTATGCTGATCATCTTCATCACCATGTGTAATGGTATTCATCTCTTTTCTCTGCATTATGTCACAGCGAGTTCATTATTGAATTTATTTCACTTTTTTTGTTTATATCTGTTTTCTTTGTTGTAGTTGGTAAATCATATACATTATTCATAATTTTTTTTCATTCATAAATAGAAGAGATTATGTGCCTATTTAGACTTCTGTGCGCGGCAATCCTGCTCGCACAGCTTATGTGTATAACATCATATTGTGTAATTGCTGCAAAGTTGTGCAACACATGTAGGATATCTCTGTGAAACACCACAGACAGCACTGTATTATATGAACACTGAAGCCCTTTGAAGCCTACTCTAAGCAAATCATCATATTGCAAAAATAGTCCTGTATCTTAGCTTTAGCTTTGTCGTCATCCATTTACTTTGATCTGATAAGTGCATCTGATGGATGAGTTAATTCAAATTACTTGATGGGGAATTCCAGGGAGATGCTTTCTTGTAAATGTAGATTGTTCATTCTGCAAGTGGCCTAAAATATTTTCAGTTCCTGGTAATGTCTTCAAAATAGCCATCAATTTATAGAACACAACACAGCATATTGGCTCTTTTTGTTTTGTTTTGTTTTTTTCTGCATTGATTTCATTGTCTCCCCACCTCGTCTGTAGGCAAATGCGTTACATGAGGCATTCATATCAGCTTAAGTTGTATAGCATCATCAGAAGCATTAATGAGCACAATAACAGTGCAGTAGATAATGCACTTTAGAAATATGACTAAGCATTGCTATATGTGGCATTTTATCATGCTAACATCATATCATTCCTCATAGTTCTTTGTCCTTAGAAATAACAAGGTAAACACTGTTAGAACTGCAAGTTAAAGATGGAAGTCGTATGATGCATTATCTTTTTCACAAAGAGATGCAAATGCTTTTCATTTTTTGTTTCCATGACAACTTATAATGAAAGGCAAAGCCATCATATTAGTGGTCCCACATAGGAATAAAATGTTAACACATAAAGATACATATTTTATTATTATTTAGTATTCCCTGATTAAAAATCAATGTATTACTTTTTGATTTAAGTATGTTTGACACAAAATAATACATTTTGAGAAATACAATTAGATTAATTCTGAAAACTGTCTTGGGTCACTTTAGGCAAACACAATATTTAAAGATTTACAAAATTTGTATTTTTTATCCAACAAGTTTTGCACCTTACTGTTACTGGCAGCACTCGATCCCTGTTTAAATCTAAATTGGAAAAAACAAACTTTTAATTAAATGGCTTTATGTTTGTATTTGTTTTTATATAAACAATTATAATGATCCTTTAGTTACTATCCATTGATTCCTTTTAATATTTTGAGTGTAATCACACATGTAGTAACAGTTTGGACATGTATTTAGGCTAGATAAAAAAGTAAGCTTTGCATACATCTTCCATAATAAAATGACATGCTGGTTACATGCTTTTGAATTCAAGTGATATTCATTATTTGAGTGCCATACAATAAATCTATCTACTTCATTTGTTTTAAAGTAACATCTGTCATAAACTCATTATTTTTTTTAAAGATGGTTAATAGTGGTTTTAGTGATGCTCTTAATATAATAATATACTTAAAACAATTGAAAAGTGAAACCAAAGAAAGGAAAACAATTTAAATGCTTAATACACGCACACTGGGGATTAAAATTATGTAAGCAGTATAAAGTTATTTGGTGATTTGGTACCTATAAAATCTGCTCCAGTGTTTAGATCAGTTGCTCAGTGGAACACCAGTGCTCAATGTAGTCTTCCTAAAATTACAGAATTCTTGGATCTTGTTTGTGTCCATTAAATGCTCATTTCCACTTTCCATTTGCAGCAATATCATTCATCTGCTGGCTTAGGCAAACACTGACACACAAACACACATTTCTGCTATCATGCACATGAATAATAACAAACGGAGTGGGCACACTGACTGTTAATCTTCCACCTACTATAAAATGTCTACTGTCTTGCAATTGTGGACCTACATGAAACAATGTGAAAGCAGAGAACAAAGCGTCTGCACTGAGCAGTTCTGTGGCGATATTCTTCCCAGCAACAGAAAAATTGAGACATACTTTATTTATTTATTTTTTCTTACATCAAAATGATATAATGTGAAACAATCACGATGTAAGTGCTGAACATGCCTGAAAGAGTCTTTCCTGTAATGTTCCTTAAAGTATCATTTAGGTCTCACAGCCTTTGTTTATACACCGGAATAACTTTTTTCACTAAATACATTGACCTTTGCCTGATTTCTAAACAGAAGGTTCAAGACCGTGTTATGTGGTTGTAGACGAAGATCATTTCAGCTCAATGTTTGATGGAGTACACTCTCTGCAAAAACAGAAGGACTTTGAAATTGATTAACATGTGGCCGATGCATATATCTTGCAAGTCCACAAGTAACTGAAAGCCAGTGTCCAAGTGGACTTTTTGATATTCAACACACCCACAATGGTATCTATGTGCTGTGTCGTTTGACAGCAAACACCTTCAACGTGATAAGCCTTAAAATCTTATAAATTACTTTTTATGACTCACCTGACTGTTGTAACACACTGTAAGAACATGGTCTTCATATCAAGTCAATTTTGGGAACCCGCACACCGGTCACAGTGCAGACTGTCAGATTTTACAGCATGCAGCAGTCAATATATTGATCCATTTTGGAACAGAATATGTGAAATGCGCCTTTAACGGGTAGAAACGATGCTGCGTGTTGTACATCTCTGTCATGTAATTGAGCATTTTAGAGGAGAATATATTTGAAATTTTACCCAAGAGGTATAAATAAAAAAACTATTCAACAAATAGATGTGTTTATTATTATTATTATTATTATTATTATTATTATTATTATTATTATTATTAATACTTCTGTGCCTCTTGTGACATGGGAAAGAACTCTCAAATAGGGGTGAGGACAGTGTTGGATGAGAGTAATACCCTACACATACTCTAAATACATGGTGTCTATTAATTAATTTAACCAGTTGCTCAAATGAGAGACTTTTTTCTTTTCATATATATTATATATACTCACTATATCATTGTAACTTTGGACTCTGACTATATTTTAAGTATATAGTATTTATATTATATTTTGAGTTGCGGTTCTATGCCGGATTTGAAGCAACAGCCAGCAGTTGGTTAGCCTAAACATTAAATAGTCATTGTCTGGTTGGCAGATTTTACTGTCTTTACTTAAAGCTGAACTAGTTGTTTTTCAGTTTACAGTTTGCGCTTAGCTAAGCTGACCAACTGCTGTCATCTAACTTTTGGCAAGAAAACAATAAAATGAAGCAGGCGTTTCAAGCTTATGAATAAAGCCCCCTTTAAATCTGGGACTCTATCTGCATGTCTTTAAAGATAACAAATCAGCTTGAGTTTAAAAAAGGCTTTAGTATTGAGACTTTGAAATGGAGTTCAAGTGGTTGATTCTAGTGTTGTTAACCCAGACCATACTTTTTACTAGAAACAAAGCATTTATTTATGTTCAATTACATTCCTGCACAGTAAATAATTGTAGCTCACGAGTTACTTGTTGCACTGCAAAGTATTTTTTGTCAAATTTAATATTCAGACAGGTTGTTGCCACTTATTTTTCTTTTACAAAATACACCAAATCAGAGGGTGCTTGTATATAGCGACATTTTTTTTAATGCTACGTTGATTAATATAAAAACATGTTTGGATGACTGTCAACCTGTCATAATAATGGAGCAAAGTCACTAAATTTTTCTGAGGACAGCTGAACAGAAGTAAATAGCTTGACTATAGGTTGAAGAAATAATGTTTGGATGAACCCTTTCTGCTAAACAATTAATGGCAGATGAAACATATTAAGCAAGAATTCTGAGAAGTTTTTTAAATCTCTCTCTCTCTCTCTATATATATATATATATATATATATACAAAAAAAATGCTTTCACACTAATAAATTACACTAATAACCAAGAAGATTCCCAGAGTATGCATGCCTAATCTTTAAAATGTTTGCACAAGTGTAATGAAGCGACACAAATGGCTTCTGTCTTTCAGCACCACAGTTTCAGATGTCACCACAAAGTAATACCATCACAATGAATACAGTAATCAGAAGTAATTTACACTCCATTGAAGTGCGCGATTATCTTCTCACTTGAACTAACATTATCGCTGTCTATAAACACCTTTTTTTTTGCAAACGCTTTCTTTTCCTATCCATTACTTTTGGTGTGTCTTTTTTGTCATTCTGCCTGTTATTTTGGTATCTCCCCACACTGACTCCGATTGCTGTTCTATGGCAGCTAAAATAGATATCGGATGTAAAAATGTACAGTAAGTATAACAGCTCTGTCTGCTCTTGACCTTCTTATTACAGGCTGTTCCCGTTTAGCTTGCTCACTTCAGTGTAAAGAGCTGAGAAAAGTGATGGGTGTCATATAGTTGAGGTTTTCGGCTTTTTTTACTCAAATTATTTGCTCTAAGTTTCAGCCTTTGGCTTTAGCAGGAGGGCTTTCTATTCTCACAATAAACTGCAAGGTCTGTTTGAGACAAGGCTGTTCTCTCTTTGTTACAATCAGGTCCATGCATGCGAGTATATGTATTTAGTTTTTTTCCTCACTGACATTCATATTGACTTTTATATATTATAACTTACTCTTATATGTTTAAAAAAGGAATAATTATAAACAATCCTGTCATCTTGCATGCACAGTATCAAAGCTGACATAAAGCTTTTTTTCTCTTCCCATCTCTTTTTCTTTTTACTCTCTCCTCCACTCCTTGACTCCCTCAACTCAACTAGGCAGAGATGTACTGATAGAAGTTTAATTAATGTGTGCTTTCTACTCTAAGCTGCCTCTTAGTGGAGAGCTAGGTGGAGTGGTTTGAGCTGAATGGTTCAGGGCTGCACTGTTCTCCTTCATTTGTTTTCTCCGACACTGGGGAGGTAGGATTTCTTACTGACTTTGACTGCAGTCGTCTTGGACTTGCATGAGGAAGGCAGATGAGCTTGTCACTGTGCCTGCTTAATTCAAAGATTTACCAGGGTTCCTTGCTGATAGTTCCACGTTTTGCTGCTGAGAAATCCCTGTTACATTGAGAGAGTCACCTACAATCAATATACAGTTATCGAGGTTTGCATTAATATATTTTTTCTGGGTTTCTCACTATGAAAAAGTCAACTACATACTGCCATAATGTTCCTATAAAAACACAATAATGAAATTAATGCTTAAAAATAAAACAATCTCTTATTTTGCACCTGGTATGGCAGTAATAGTATCTGCTTATTCATTTGCAATGGCATGGGGAAATTGTGTTAGAATATATGCAGGATTGTTGTGGGTGAATTGCTGTGAGCTTGGTGCTAAAAGCTTTGCCACCCCAAATGTTTAGCAGGGTCACGTTTATTTTTGGTACTCAGTACTGGAATTTTGATGTGAGAGTACAGAACAGTGTCGGAGGGAGAGAGAGTTGCCAATATAGGAAGCAACTTTTTATCAATATACAGTACTGTGCAAAACTCTTAAGCCACCCCACAATTCTTTCTTTTTTATTTGGATTATGGAAAATGAAACATG